AATTAATAAGAATAAATACAGCTGTCACCTTCCTTGAGCTTCCAAGGTTTTATATCATTCACTATTTTTACTTTCATTTCTGCCCCAAAACATTTATTTCTTATTGCATGGGACAGGAATAATTTAAAACATGAAAGCCTAAGAGAGTTACCTTTCAGAACTACAGAAATATTATAATATTATCTGTGGGTATCTTATTAAACACATGTGCAAGGAGGAGGAGGAGAGATGAACATGATGAAAATTAAAAGTAACAAGGTATCTATTGTTCGAGCTCATTCTCAGGGTTCTTTCCTACTCATGAATCCATCCATTCCAACCTCATCTTGTTCTTGTTGTGTCAGGAAGTTTTTGACTGTTTTGCTTGAGTTTGAAATTTGTACGTTAACAGATAAAAATTTGTTTACCTAATTTATAAGTGGAAAACATTCCCAGTGTACAATGCAAGAAAATGTGCTGACAGACTGAACTCAGAAAGGAAATAATTTCTGAAAGACATTGGCATCCGAGCTGACTGGAAAGATATTACTTTGACCACGTAGTTAGGGGGAAGGGGTAGAAAATTAGTTTTCTTTTGACCAATTATGATGTCCCTGGGTTTGGGCATTTGATGCAAAAAATGGTTTTAGTTCAAATCCCCGGCCTATGCCTGGTCTCCCCTGCCTCCAGCTTAAAACTGAGAGGTGAATAATACCACACCCACCTGTGCATTCAGTTAAATTTAAATTGCTTCACATTTACTAACACCTTTGACTGACATTTATATGCCTTGTATCAAAGTCCTTAAATGAAAATGAACTTCAATTTGTCCTCTAACTTGTAATGAGCAATTTTACAACTGTCAAATCTGAGATAATTGTTCAAAGAAAGCTTAATTATTGAGCCTCGGTAAATCCAAGTGTGTCCATCCCACCCACCCCACCCCTAGGGCATTTAATTTTGTCAGGCATTTGTAATCTTGTTGGTCTGGTAGTGGGGGGTTTGTCAGAAAATCTCTGCCCAGGGGTGAGGCATTTGTCAATTCTTCTAGAAGAAGCGATTAACATTGTTCCTTTTTCAATATTTCACTTAAAAAATATGCCTGTTTACATTGCTATAGATATTTCTACAAAGAATATTTTTAGTACATATACTTTAAAAAGATTCGTGTGGTTTTTGCCCCATTGACCACCCTGCCCCACAGTATTTTTTGCAACCCTCTAAAAAACTGCCTCTGCCATCATGATCAGTTCGCACATGAAAGAAAAACAATCAATGCATCATTTGAAGAGTTTAAAGGCAAAAAAACATTCTTTGTAAGCAAAAAGGCCTAGAAAAACTCTGCAAGAAAGTTGAAAGCTAATATAAACTTTGTGTTTTGTACGATCAAAATTGTGACAATTAAAACTTTGATGGAACGGTTCCATTAACATCATGAGAAAATGTTAAGCTCATGGGTTGTTTGTTTATCATTTACTATTTCAAATACCTTTGAAAATAAGAAAGGTAATTATTAAAATGATTTCTAGTTTATACAGGGTGTCCCAAAGGTTCGTTCCTCTAATTTCATGCACTATAACTTTTGATCAAAATTATATTTTTACATGAAATTGCTAGAAGATGTTTATTTCTCTATCAAGTACATGTATTGAGAATTTCAGTAACTGGCATGCCCTTTTTGTTTTTTTATCATATTTTGTAGCCGTTGCGGCATGAATTGGGATACAGCGTGTAGCAGACCCACAAACGATCCATTTTGAGCTTTTTTATCACCTGAACCTTAAGAAATATGGTTGGAGTATGCTGTGGAGCAATATTCTTGTTTTTGGCAGAGCAAATGGTATCTTTGCTGATTGAGAGGTCATGAGGCTGATGTGTTTCCTGTGCATTCCAGCATTGATTTCCTGTGGTTTTTGTCTCTTACAGAATTTGACCACTGAAGCATTTTAGGGAATTCTTTGACCTCTTTTGAAGTATAAAGCTCATATTTATTGCCACTAAATGATCCTGAGTAACTTTCAACAAATAGTTGTCTTGTTCGTGACTCGACTGTTATGCTTGCCCTGGCTCGTTTGCAGGTCAGTTTTGTATTACACAAATCTTCATGACTGGGTTATTAAATGGTTCCAAACAAGGCCGGGGACAAAAGTGTCCAGCATTCAAAACTTGTAAGAAATGTGGCAGGCCAGCTTTTCCCTCGTGGCTTTGCCGCTCACGAAAATCCCTTGCAGCTTCTACGCTCCCCTCTGGTGATGGCTCCGCCACAAAAAAAAGTACCCCAGGCACCAGAATCCCGCCAGCTACACAGGCTACACCAGGGAGTTTTTGTATGAACTGCCTGGCCCCACCGTGGGACATTTGCATCTTTTCCTAAAAATTTGACAAATGCCTGACAATTGCCCAGCAGGGGGAATAAGCATGCTTGCAATTGACTAAGTCGTTATTCAGCTAGACTACAAGTAGTCCCTCATTTTTCTTCAGGGATAGTAGAGCGAGCGAAATGCGAGCGCGCGTGAAAATC